AAAAATATCCTCTTATTGTCCACAGGAAGGAAAGAGCAGAAACAATTTAATTTTATCATTTATCTCAATTTATTTTTGTGTAACTTGTGTATTTTATTCGATTTATTAAAGGAAACATTTTTTTAAATGTCTAAATTGGATAATTTGTGCTTTGTAAATTCAATTGCTCTTACATTACGGAAATTTTTGGATAAAATATCATTACATATAATTTGATCATGATGAAACCATTTAATATTATAAATATATCAATTAGATAGCAGATAATTAAAATTTTTCATTTTTAGATTTTCCTCAGTGAGATTTAAAATTATATATAACGACCTAAAAGAAGTGAGATAGAGCTGGCCATTCATAAAAATAAAGTCCTTCGAAAACCACAAAAATATGAGAATAAAATCAATATAGATTCTTTGAGACTTATTTTAACTCTTTCCGCCCTGTGGGCACTAAGAGGGCCTCTTTTTGCAAGCCCATTATGAGTTCGGCTAGGCCCACAATGGGGCTGCCGGATGGTGAGGGACGGGGCCCGACATATCCGAACGGACCACCCCCGAAAAATCCACCTTGGCTTCCACCTTGGGTCGAAAAATCCACCAGGCTCCACTTTGACCGCTCGGCCATCCGGCCGCTATTCTTTGAGACTAGAGAGACTAGAGTAATGTGTGTATTTTTACGTAAGAAACTAACTTATGTTGTTGCCATATATACTAAAATAACAGTAAACTCTACTAAATCGGACCCCGTCAACTCGAACTTTGCATAACTTGGATTTTTCCAAAAATCCGTACAGTAATTTAAAATTATAATCAACCAGTGTTTTCGATATTTGGTAGTCTTTGCGATATTATGATTTACGTTACTGCAGTCAGTAACTAAAGACTGCTCATTATTGTATACTGTATTATCATAAAATTGTTTGAGCTCATTTCCTGTAATAATGAACTCAGCAGTATAACCTACTAAACTCACACTATTCTGGGACAAAGGTGGCAAAACCAAACCTCGTCTATCCGAAAGAACTTAAAAAGATATGGCGACACACAAAAATTCAGATCCATGGCCAACGTATAAGAGAGATTTCGCTAAGAAAATGCCGACAAACGTTAACTTTTCCGATCAAATTACTTTGTGTTTGCAATCGTTTATCTGTTTTCGCTTCTCGGCACCAATAATCAAAAATTTGATACGGTACGCATTTTTTTCAAATGTGGATATTCGTCAGAAAAGCCTGCATCATTCGAAACATCGTTATTTCCAACGTGGTTCTCCGAAAAATGCGAATAAAATGGCCGTCTAGAGCTTGTGTAGGGTACAGAAATAAAATGGGCTCCTTTTGCACCTTAGCGGTTATTCTTTTGAATTTGTTTTAAACGAATAAAATATGTAGAATGTTTCTTTCTTTATTAATACACTTCATTCTTAAAGATTTAATGTTATCTTTACTAACAAAAAATAAATTTTTAAGGGTAGTAACCACTCCGACCCCAAGTTTTCTTCGGGTCCGAGAAAAATCCCCAGCTTTCCTCTCGACAGCTCTGTGTATAGAATTCTACTCTTTTACGAATAATTGGATCTTTTACTCGCTACTAAACATTTAATGCCTCTTCAATCATCTAATAAATATGTGATAAAGGTCCTAATAGTCCCTTTAACGCAAAATATAATAACGTAAAGCTCGAAGCCTTTTCTGTGAGTGATGATATTTATTTTTCCTATTTATTATCACGATGACATTGCTTCATACAAAACTTTCCGTAGCTGTAGTCTGTGTAATGTGCACTTTATTCACATGTTGACTCTTGATGTCAAATCTACTTCCACTATTCTTATGCCACAACTTTCAAAAGTTTCCTTCATTTAGATATTTTTGCTGAGCTCTACTTTTTCAACCTGGTTTCACCAGGTTTTTAATGGGATTATTTAAAGTTATTAAATAACTAAGAACTTGTGCAAAAAATATTTAATTTGTGGAAATAACTTTAAAAATTTAAAGATAATCATTTGTTCAGTGTTAGGCTACATTTCGATTAATAAAAATATGCAGATGCTAATGTTTTATTAAAACACGCTTTTGGTTACCACAGTAAAACCTGTATAAAGCGGATTCGCACAATACCGCATATTCTTTTCCGATTTGGCAAGTTTCTTTTAACATAGAAAATCGCCGCGTATACGTTCCGACGAATTCCTACCCCCGTTTAGGTAGGTTTCCGTTTTATTAAGATTTTACTGTAATATTTTCGTGCAATGTTATTTATCGAGTGTGGTCTGAAAAATAGCATTTTTACTTAAGCAAAAAATAACTTAAATTAGAAACACGTTCTGTATTAGAATAACGTAGAAGTAATAGAAGAAAATTATTCTATTGTTGATGAAACAATATAATAATTCACCTAATTCTGTTTTTACACGATAGATTGGTTCCCGGGTTCCCGGAAATTACGTGTAAAAAAATACATTGTATATATAGAAAATTAGATTGGTTACAGTCTCAAGAAATCAACGAAAACAATGAAATAAACCATACGAAAAATATTGTTAGAATCTTATTTATTTATTTATTTTTTGCATGCTATCAAATTTTATTTCATACACATTGCACATAAATAAAAATGAATTATAGGAATATAAATTTCATTTGAAAAGTAGAAAAACATATAGTTTTAATGAACCTAAAAATTGAGCATTGAGTTATACATAAGATTTTATTCGCTGTCACTTTCTGACATTAAACACATACGTTTGCACATGATTGAAATATCACTTATCACTAAAAATGCTTTGGTTATCTTTAGCTTCGTCCACAGGTGACGTTCTTTCTGATTCTCCTGAACGACATTAGCAGTAATGTCCTGTGATGCTGATGTTAGTGGTTTTATGGACGATTTCAGTTATTAATGGCTGGGTTTGTACTGCGGTAGGCCTTTATATAATTCCCTTTAGAATGGCATTAATTTAATGATTTCAGATCACATTGAAACTTAAAGCTCGTTCCTCATTAGGATCATACATGACAATTTTTTTTAATCGTTTTAAAAAAGTTCGTGTAAAAACAGAATTAGGTGTAATTTTCTTCTATTACTCATGAATCAAATGCGTAAAATTCGTTATCTCAATACTTGTATCTTAATAATTAGTGAATCTTCAGTATTAATACTTAAATCAGTGTTTCTCAACGGGGGCGATATCGCCCCCATGTGGGCGTTTTTCTGTATTGAGGGGGCGATTAGTAACAATTTATATTTTGGGGGACGAAAAATAATTTTCTGGGCGATATAGTAAAACATTATATTAAGAATATTTGGATATTTTATTCGTTATATTGTACAATAATTAAACAAATAACATTATACTAGTGTCACTAGTCTATTCAATGCAGTACGAATTTGGCGTTAGCCTGGGCTCTCGGAATCGGAATTTTGAAGTGAAGGGGGCGATACTATGTAACGGTTTTGTTGAAGAGGGCGACGATTCGTTAGAGGTTGAGAAACACTGACTTAAATAAAGGTAACCCTCAAGTTGTGGAAATTTTTTAAAATGTTTTTTAAGCTTATAAATACTCTCGATATCAATGGAATATACAATATATTATTAGTCAAAAATAAGTCATATTGGTGCACTGGAACCAGGTTAACTCGGTCATTTTTTCCTTCAATGGTCCAGCTCACGTGAAATCAAACCCGTTAACACGAATGGGTTTTCGATACAGTATTTTCATAAACTCTCGGAATTTTAATTTAAATAAAATAATTGACGTGCATCTATCGGATAAATAATCAGAAACTTTCTATAAAGCGCGGGAACCGCGTACCACTGAAAATAAACACGGTGTCGCGTGACGGCCGGCAGGAAGTGGAAGCTTCCAGACAGCACGTGTGACCTGGATACAATAACCTGCTTTTTTCGAACTTTTTTTTTTTATTTAATTGCTGGTGCATTTATCCGACTAGCTGACGTAACAAAAAATAAAAGACAGATCGATTGTAGGCACGAAATATTGCAATGTAAAAAAGAATCCTTTCTAAACACTTATGAGTGGATGGATCAAGCATTCGGGAAAGCATTTCTCGATAGCTTATTTAACCAGAATAAAGAAATTAAAGAAAATCTAAATTTAGAAAATTTTGTATAATTAATGAATGAAAAGTTCAATTTTATAATACCTGATTACATTTAAAAAGTTATCATCATCTTTTCTCTGCTTATAGCATGTGCACAGCTAAGCTTCAAGCTGATATTGTTGTATGTAGGGTTTCTCATTTCCCGGGAAATTTGCCTCCAGCGGGATTACGGGAAAAATAATTTCTTTTCCCGGGATCCCGGGAAATTCCGGGATGAGATAGTAAAATAGAATTTTATATGAATAAAAAAGATCATACAGGAATATCATAAATTTGAATAATTTAATTTATTTTCTAGTAAGTAACTAAAAGTGTAGGGCCAATCTCACCCATACGGACACGTTAGGCTCAATTAATTTATATTCTCCTACATTATAAGATGAAAGTAAAATAAAGCGTTTCATTGGGAGTTTTAATGATTACGAAAAAAATACTATTTTACTTCTAAAGATGAAATAAAAAATAAACTAAAGTGCGATGAGTGATATTTACTTTCAGCAAGTCTTCACTGTTCAATGATGCGCAAACACAATACATAGATATTACATGAACTAACAAGTAGAGACTTGTAAAACATAGGTAATAATATGCAGCAAGAAACCTCAAAATTTCTCTCTTAGGTGAGTCTTCAAGATGCAACTTTTCGTTTAATAAATAATAGAAAGAAAACCTGACATGATAAATTATTATTGAAATGCGAGATTTCCCGGGAAAATTAAATCTCCCGGGATTTTTCTCGTAGGGAATAAACGGCGAGAATCCCGGGAAAACGGGATCCCGGGAAAGAAACCCTAGTTGTATGCCATATGCTTGCAATGTGTATTTGTTAAATATATATAATACTTAACACAATACAAATTTATAACAAATATTATGTAAATTTATGATGATTTATTTCCTTCATTTCTTTCTTTAGATACATTATTTACATCAGTTGAACAGTTTCTATCATTGTTTTGAGAATTGTTTTGATTGTTATTTGTGTATGCTTGATAAAATGGTGGAAAAGGCATTGGGTGAGAATAATTTGGTATAAATGGAAAAGGATAGTAATTAGCTGGTGGAATAGTCCAATTAGCATTTTGAAAAGGTTGTGAAAATGTCTGTGGAGGTTGTGCTGAAGTGGAAGACTGTGGTTTCAAAATTCTGTCCATCATGTTTGCCATAGAAGAAAAAAATGTCTTCATTGATTTTGCAACTTCTATTTCTATCTGTAATTTCTTCCATTGTAATTCATATGATCTTTTCTCTGCTTCTAGTAATTTTTCTATGGCATCCTTTTCAGCTGTTTTTCTTTTCTTGGTTCTTTTATTTTGACTAAAATACAATATATAGAATAAATTTTTGTTTAATGATTTTAAACTAATTAATTATACAAAATATTTAGAAGTTTTATGTAATAAATTCTTGGACTTTAAAAAAAAACCTACTGATTAGATTTTGGCATTTCTTCATCACTAGAGGCAGACAATGCAGAAAATACAAGTTCAGATGCAGCAGATGCTGAATCACTAGGAAGAGGAGATTCTAATTCTCTTCCCATATCTGAATTATTAATATTTGATGATCTTCTATCATCTGCTTCTGTTATATTATTTGCAACTATAATTTTTAAATTTAGTACTTCATTATAATATATATATATATAAAAAACAACTTTTTAAAAACTTACAAATGTTGGTTGTTGAGCCACCCTCACCATATACATCATGTAAATGCATTATAGTAATGTGATCATTACTATAATGCATTTACATATATATACCTAAAATATCATTTATAAACAATATCATTGATTAAATTTTTGCATTGTTAATTCTTCAATTAAGTTATTGCGGAGTGGGATGGTCCAACATCACCCCACTAAAATGCATTTTTATTGGACTTGGGTATGTCCTCAAAGTTTTAGGCTTCTATCTTAATTAGAAATGGATGAAATATGAGGGCATAATGCAAAGCAAGTTAAATAAAAGCATTTAATAAAAACAGAAATGTATACAGTTTATTACCATCACTTGAATTTCTTTGAACATCCAATTTCTTATTGTCAATCTTTAATTTGTCTTCAACATTATTTAAATCTATTTTTGTAAACAAATAATTTCAGAATAGGAGCATTAGAAAATGAAACTTTAAATACTGTATATGAAATAAAATCTACCTTCAATAGAAAATTTTGAAAAATTTGATTCTTGACCTTCAATCTCAATTTCCAAACTGTTTTCAATATTTATGTTATCTATTAATAATAATATAAATAAATATTAATTTCTTAATGATGATGATGACAACTATAAATATCAAAGAAAATAATGCCAAATAAAAAACTGATGATAATTTTATAAAAAATTATTTTTAACTGTAAAATTTTTAAAACTAATTATAACAATAATTACAATTTAACAGAATTATCTAATTATTATATAAGTAAATTACATCTGAAAGTCATAATATAGTATATATAACACAAATAAAAACAGAAACCTGTAGGGAGAAAATATATTTCATTTCGATGAAACTGAAAGAAATTTATCTTTGATCAAGATTGCAAGCACAAGAATTAGCATTACCAATGTGTAAAGATGCAACAAAACAATGTCTGTTAAAGGCAGTGTGCAATTTCTAGAGAAAAGGAATGATCACTCTGTGCAGTAAGCTTACTATAGTATCTCATTTTAGTATTATAGGAGATGACACAAAGATCATGGTGGTAGTACTACTGCAGTGTGAAATAAAATTGCAGCTGGTCTACATGTATTGAAACAATTTTAGAATCTTTCTAAAACATGCATAAAAATCAAAAGGACACTACTAAGAAACACTCCACTGTTTCTAGATCAGGGAGAGATCATCTAGAAATATGTATCTTAGGCATTCCTAAACATTGCTGTCAACCAGTACTGACAGCACTAGATTAATGCTCTTTTCTTTTGCTTTGTTCACTTTTGAAAAGCAGACACCACATGGAGTACATACACACAGTCATAAGCCAAAATGGCTGCTGACTGCATGTATGTACTCCATGTGGTGTGTTGGAAAAATCCATACAAATTAGATATCATAAATGATGATTATACAATTTCACTTATAAATCATCCTTGTAGTTTGTGTAAAATCAAACTTGTAGTGTTGCAAAATTGTAAAATTTTCAACATTGATTTGATAAGAGGAGGAAAGAAGCTGTCCAAGATTAGAATACTTCGTCTTTTTTGTACATGGAAAGGGAATTCTCCACCAGGATGGTGGAGATTTGAAGGGGCAATTTGAAGGGCCCCTTCAAATTGCATCCTTGTTAAAGTCTCTTTTTTGTGTGTAAAGCAGTATTTTGCTACATCTTTACATTTCAAATATCCATAAATTAAAAAATAGATTAAATATTTTACAAAACTATTAATAATTTTCATTTTCTTTATTCTTATCTTCTGAATCTGATTATTAATATAGATTAAAAATTCTAGGCAAATACTTTTTTTATACTTATTCCAAAGGGCAATTTAAAATTTCAGATATCTTGTGTCAGCCAGATGGTCACACAGTAAAGTGTTTTCATATTGTCATGTGACAATCAGAATCACAATTTATTATTGGCCGTATAGGCCATTAATTCCCCCATCCTCATTCATAACAGCTAACTCCTTTCCTAGGTATTGTTACTCTGTGTTGCTCATGATGGTCATAATATTGTGGCTGGGCATAGCCTAAAATGTGTTGGTGCCTTGCATTAAATGAAACAAGTAAACAAATCAATTTCTTGATATATACAGTAGTAAATACATGCAAACAGTAAAATATAAGTTTGAGAACACAACCATGATCAGTTTTTACTGCCAATCTTAACTATTGTTTTTAAGTTTTAAACATTACTTGATTTAAGGCTAGCTGCATAAAAATATGGTGCATGATAATTCCCAGTTTATCAATAGTTCTGTACAAATAAAGCTTTTAACATTCATTTAAGTTGAGCAGCAATGTCTTGGCTAGTGATATCAAATGATTCATAAGATTATTAATTATTTTATTTACTTCAAACTGTTTAATTTAAAACACCAATTAGTGTTAGTATCTATTAATCATATAGAGTGATTGCATCAACTATCATCATTGCAACTTAAATTACTGTTAATATTTTTATGCATTAAGCATGTAAAATACTGTATTGTGAGAAAAAGAATTAATACATTAAGCACCACAATAGTGGGCGCAAATTATCACACTCGCCATAGTCCTTTTTATGAACAAAATGGCACAAATATGATGGCTATTTAATATAATTTTATCTGAATTGTTAAAAAACATTTCTCAGTTTTTAGGTATGTTGTAAAATTGCAACACATGGTCTGAATGATTTTTTCTAATCATGTTATGCCATTTTATATGCTCATCAGCTTTTGAACTTAATAAAACTTCTACCACATTCAAAGTTGCACAAATGTATGTACCAATAAAAATCCAAGAGAAATAGAATAATCACTGAAATAATGTACTGTACCTACTGTTTTCTTTTACTGTTTTTGATCACTGAGAGAAAATAAAGATTGTTTCTTAAATATTTGTTTTTATGTTTTATATTTTCATGATATTGTACTTATTCACATTCATTGTACCAGAAAAACATTAGAAAAGGCAAACTTTGCTCATTTTTCATCTTTTACAGGACAAAAAAATTAAATTCCTATTAGTGTTCTATCATAAAAAAAATTTACTGGGCTGAGTGCAATTTCCATTTCCACAGACCACGCTTTAACTATTTCTATTATGTTTATATTTATGCTTATGTTATGTTATAGCTAGAGTGTTGATCCAACTTAACACAGCTCAGATTTCAATATATATATATATATGTTATGGACAAAGTGATTAATTGGGCATTATTCATAATGACCGGGCATTATGAATAATGACCAAATAGGGAGGGCAGTGTGATAAATATTGATTCATTTATCAAATTGACCGGTCATTATGAATACTGCTATCACCTAGTCGGGCAAAGTGATAATAATAAGTTGAGGAGTGATCATCTG